TACCTGAACATGAGTATCTATCCTCGCCATCCCATAAATAAATAATTAACTAACTCATACATTGCCGGTGAGATAATCAACAAAAAAAAATCTAATTGTCAAGCGGTATATGTAGGTACTTAATACGTTTCGTGACGTATTGGAAAACTGTAAAGACAATTAGCAATTAATAAAACTGCATTTCCCGTAAAATACCGCGTTGCTCAATAAGTTATGGAGTTGATTTATTGGCACACTTCGTTAGCTAGTTTCTCATTAGTTATTTATTATAATATGTCAGTCTGCTTCTGATGGTCATCATATTGACATTGAACTACTTGATTGTGAAGACTGTTACAGCCAACCAACGGCTGTATAGTGAAAGCAAACATCTAAAGATAAGTACGTACCTACTGTTATCAAGGTCAAGATGACCCCTAGCAGTTTATAAATAATACATTTATTACAAATTATATCTTATGACGACGGACGTAAGAATGAAACGCTGTTTTTCTCACATGCAAAAGGAAAATGTACTTATGTACGTACTAGTTCTAGGTACGTCTTTGGTCTCTCGTTACCTTTTTCTAATCTAATACACGTTGAAAACAAACGGACCCAATTTTTACGTAATCTACGATTGGTAAAATATCATGGTGTTCAGGAAGCAACGAATTCCCATAATTGTAGTGATATTTTGAAGAGGATGTAGTATTAATGTCAACCTTGACTCCTTTAAATTACAAGTAGTCATGCGTTTGTAATATGTACGGACATACATAGATAGATGCTTATTTTAACGTCTCCATCGTACCGTTTTTCTTGATGTGAGATCATACCGCCGTTATTTTCTGATGTACGGTACACATTTATTATAACTGATGGTGTTGGATAAATAGCAAAACATGAAAATTACAGAATGGTGTTGTGTAACACAGAAATGAACAAATAATTGTTTTACAAGTTAATCGTAAGGCAGCACGCGGCCATATAATTATTTATTATTCAAACATACAAATAAATGTAATCATTACGAGAATCCATAAATCTTTTACATGCATGTACGAACAACCAAATCGAGGATCAGCCAAAAGTATACTTATCTAATCGGTTGTAATTTATTTCATACTAGGTTTTACCCGCGGCTTCAAAAATCATCGACGACTACATAAAACTAATTTTTCTATCCCTCGGGAACAATACTATTTTTCTAGATAAAAGGTAGGCTACGTCCTTTTCTATACCCCTAACAAATAATATTAGTTAGGATTAGGATACCTGTTTGAAATAAAAATTAATACAAAATACATATTTTTTATTTCCTATTTTTAGAATATGCCATCGGCTTATGTCTAAATCGAATCTAAAAGAATTTAATTAATTTAAACGACGATACAACGAAATGGGCGCATTTTTTAATTAAGATACATAAAATTGTTTTAATAAGTAATTGCACTTTCTTGGTCCAATGTAATTTTCCTTAATACAAAATTTTGTTGTGCTATTGTGCGTCTATTATGTTCCAATGTCAAGAGTAATAAGTTCTTGTTCAATATTTACGTAATAAAGTCATTCCATTAAGTATAAGTCAAAAGAAAGACTCTCTCACAACAGAAAAAAAACAAACGTATAATACAGCAATCTCCTAGTATGAACCTAATTATCAGTAAAGGTTCCACAAACAAAAATTGAAAATCGAACAGACTTGTGATATGTCCTAGGTAGGCCAAATAGGCAGATATTTTAAAAATCAGGTGAATGAACATAAAAAAGTTATACGAGATCTCCAATTCTGCTGATGCTGATACAAATAATTCTAGTTCTTACATTTACTATCACATACGATGTTTTTAGACCCATTCGTTTCTGATTAAGCTTCTGCTCTTATCTCTAATCTTCTTGCTCGCAATCCAAAGAAGGAAGTAAGAAAAACTTGTGTAAGATATCTTGATACCTTTTCTGCTTTATTAGACTAAGTCGTCGGTATTGTAGAAAGGTATTGTACCTATGTATTAATAAATGCATCTGCCAACGATCGAAGAATATATTGCATAATAAGCATCAACGGGGTATATAAAGTAGGTCAAAAATAAAACATCACGACCTTCCTTAGCAAACACGTGATTAACCCCGTTCTAATAGCAATAATGCTAATATGATCCAGCACCCAAGTTTCTAAAGGGCAATCCGCACTTTTACGAAGCAATACGTTAATGTAGCTCGGTCATTAAAACCAAAATTTTACAATTGCTAATAACAAATTACTTAACGTAACGTTAATTAACAAAAAATCAATCGGCACAGCAACTTTTCGCGTAATTAGAATAGTCTAAAAGTAGCAGTTATAACTCGATAATTGCGTCATTATTATTTTCCTTCAATTTGGAAGAAACATAGAGGAAAAATCCGGGTTACGCCACTGCTAAGTTTTTAACTATCCTTTGAATATTTCTGTTTCTTGACACGTAACAACAAAATATAATGAGCATCCTGGAGATACCCCCTCCCCTCTTTCCAAATAGCACTTAATAGCTCATTAATTTGTTTAAACCAAAGGAAAGCATAGTAAAATAGTATTATACTTAATAATATCTGCTACTGTAGGATTAGCAAACATCAACGTATTATTGCATGTATTTATTAAGAAGACTAACTAAACAAACAAAAGAAAAGCTTCCTACCTGTTGAAAGTTTCTTGATAGTAGAGTCTTCGTAAGGCATGGTCAAAACCACAAAAAGAATTGTTACGTTTACTTATAGTCACTTACACTACACGAAAAACACTAAAATACTGTTATTTAATGAAAAATATCGTTAACACACAATTTTCATCACGCACGCGACCGAAAAGCTCAAACAGAAACAGGTGCCCCACCATCCCTTTCATGAAAAGCTGCTACCTACACGGTGGTATCCAACTATGATTTTTAAAATTAAAAAAGTAAAGGTAGGGTGTACTTAGGACCACTGAAATGACTGTAAAACAACTAGATTATCTCTCTTATACATCCATTTAATTCTATGTAAATAAATAGAAGTTCTTGAACTATTTTAATTAAAAGAAACAATGGACTTGTTACTACCACTGTGTTTCGGAGCTTTTGCAGGTTATTATTGTTCTTCTCCTTAATTTTCCGGAAAACAAGTGCGAAATTTAAACTTGATTTAGACAGTGCGGAAATGCTTAAACGAATCGCAGGGTTACAAATGTGATTTTGTTAATAAAAAACATGTTTTAGTGCATCAAAATCAATTGTACACAATACGTGCATGCGAAGTTTAATCTATGAATAGTAAAAAGGTAAGAAAGAACAATTTAATCAAAAAATTTGTTATTTGTTAGAGAATAAGCTCCTTATTGAACAGAAAATTTGCTGACTCCATTCGTACTGTGTATATTTGTTTTTAACCAAATTATCCGATTATTGTTTTATCATGCCATTAGCAAAAACTTAACTTTGTAAAGAATGACGGTATTACCTGGCCAGTTTTTAATGATATTTCATAAACGATACGGTTGACTGATTATGAATTGTATTTATTCTCAATGTACATTACCTATGGTCACCCAAAGTTCACTAGGTCGATGTTCCTAGTAAATGTCTACACACGTTTATGTACATAACAACTATTAGTTATTGTACAACTGCGCAATCACGAACGGAAAATTAATTACTATTTGCTCCTTTTCGCATTAAATTATCCTTTTCAATTTTCAAAAAAAGATTCTTGATCGAATACAGCATTTCATTCAACGATTTAACGGTAAATTAAAATGAAAATGGTCGTAAAAACTGCTTTAAAATGCTTAGTTCGAATTACTATTGTAATACATATGTATAACTAATTATTATATCGCCTTTCTCTAAATTTACATCTCAAAACATACTTAAAGTTCAAAGTTTGAAGATGAAAAACGGTTTCTATATACAAAAAAAGGTCTTAATTATTTTAGAAGAACAAATACCATCCCCCCTGTTTGTTTGTTGTACTCGATCGGTGTCTTCACAACATTCTTTTTATTTTTAGCGTTCTTGCAATTAACATCCTTCTGAATAAATTCTGTTTTTTTAATAAATTTTAAATATAAGGTCGAAACCTGCTTAACATATGTTTAATATAGTGATTATTATAGATCTGGCTATGTAATTATCGGTAATGCGGTAATTCATTCGCTGTGCTTACGGATTCTCTGCGAGTAACCTCCAACACAGCAATTTAAGGCAGTTAAACGTTAAAAATCAAGGATTCGTTAAATATTTATAAAGCACGAATTAGAAATTAGATTGATATTTTTTTCTTCATCAACCTTGATATTCTTGTCGTGATGATAACGACTACAGTAACCGATATTATGCAATTTATACTTTTAATAACAAGCATTACTAATAAAAAAAATGATGTTTTACTTTCATGTTCTATTGCAATCAAAACATTCACTTTTTATTTAATATTTTATTGATTATTTGTTACGGTTAATAATTACTTTGATTTACTTTACTTCGCAACTAGAAATGTAAGTGAAAACAAAAAAAACAGAAAGGTACGCATATTTTAAAGTTTTGGAACAAAACGGTACACGTTTTTAAAACACCTTGTATGTTATTTAAACAAAATTTATTCCCATATTCATCTTAGCTTATACAACCAGCAATACAGAAAGAAATAGAAAAATTAACTCCTGAAATAATCTGTTTCCGCAACCAACAAAGCAGACAAGCATAAAATAATGTACAGGGTGCATCATCAAATAGTTTTGAAAGCACAAAAGTATTAAAGAAGTTTTAAACTCAATCCAAACAAGCATGTGGTCTGAAGTCGCTTCAGACAATCTTTGAAAACTATTTCTTAAGAAATCCTGTGCAATATTTTTTGAGAAAATACCGTTTTATCTTACTGTTACCAGCCTGGTATATGTATATTGAATATATAATTAAGCGCAGTGCCGTCGAGAAGAGAAAGAAAAGGCTGGAAGGTGGCCGAAAATTCGAAACTTTGATATTTTGAATGAAAACAGTAAAGTGTTGATATATTTTTATTAACTTTTGTTACAAGTTAGGTACAAACAAGTCCTTTGACGACACTATGATATATCTGGATTTTTTTTGTACATAACTTTCAATAAGCATTTAATTTAACTCTTATGTACAACTAGTTCGAAAGTTACAAAAAGATAACTAGTCAACTGAAACAGTCACCAAGATAATCGTAAAGCGGTACAATTTGCAATTAAAATTATATTTAAGTGAACCATCGCAATGTTACAAAGACTTATGCACAGTAACGAATTTAAAACACTAATAGATATACGCATAATTATGCTTTTATGTTTTTCCCAACCGATCTTCACATTTATAATTGTACAACTTTGATTTTACATTTTTTAAATTTACTTCACTACTTACTCAGACTCCAGGAAATACTTAATTGGAATTTATTATAAAATAAGGAAACAATATTAACAAAGCTATATAGACTTCAATTTTACCGACTTATTTCCTTTTTGTTTTTCATTAACAATAATCTATATCAAAAAAAAAAACTAAGGAAAAACCTAGCAATTTAAAACTGCCATATTACAAATACACAGTTAATTTTATGGTGCACTCTACAGAATGTTAATGCTGCAGATAATAATACAAATAAGATAATTTAAAAGTAAATACATATAACGTTTTAAACGTGGAATATTTGCTACTAAATAGATACAGCCCCTATCTCCATTGCTATTTTCTAACCGTCACATTAAAATAGAACGAAAAATAAATAAACACGCATCAAAACCAAAATAGCTAACGGAATAGCTCCTTTTTGAGAGTAAAAAATAATATAGGCATGAGAAAATGCACAAAAACAGATCAAGAACTCCAAGAAATTATTTTTATGGCAACTAACTACAAACCTTCGGCAAAGCATTTTGAAACAAAGTAAATATTACAGCAGGAGTATTTTATAACCATTATTATGTTTATAGATAACAAAATCTCTTTAACAAGTATTATGTTAATCTGCGAATAATAATAATGTTATATTAGTACATAATATTTATTAAGGCCGGCTTGTAATTCCCCCGGTTCGAGAGTTCTTGATCTAAACACATATTGTACTCGTAATTGTTTCCTAATACTAATGCAATCACTGTTTGCCAGTTAAACAATTCCTATCGAGTCAAAATGTATGTATCATTTTTAACGAAGAGAGCGTTATTAAACTGAAGAACCGCGTGATGATAAACAACAAATATGCACCATTACGATTAATTATTATAAATATATAAAAAAAAACGCTCTCTTCTCTGTGAAGTACGTTCAAAAATGAAGAGACTCCCGCGTATTTTTGCTCAACTAACAGGCGCAATTGTCCTTATTGTATCTATTCTGCTGTTGGTCATTGTTGAGGGTGTTACGACCAGGCTGAGATGGTTTGTGTTGAACTCCTGACTCAGCAGCATTAAGATCAAGTCGACCATCTTGAATACTTTGATAAATTTTCCTTGCAGTTTCAAGAAATGCCTCCTCAACATTTTGTCCTCTAAAACATTTAGCAATTTTTGAAACATTCACATTAATATATTAGTTTACAATGTATATTACATTAGCAAACCATACAAACTATTATAGTACTTAATAAAATATGCATACTATTAATATTTAAATTAATAAATTAGTTATAGCAACCAAATCTCTACCTATGCAGGATTTACTAATTATGGATATATCAAATACTGTGCTTAATGATTCACTTACGTTTTAGCACTTGCTTCTACAAACATAAGACCATTTTCATCAGCAAACTGTTTGGCCTCTTCATATGTAACATCCCTTTGTGCTTCTAAATCGCATTTATTACCAATTAGGAAAATAACTGTACTGGGGTTTGTCAATGTTCTTGTGTCAGTAAGCCAACTACTTAGATGATTATAGGTAGATCTTCTTGTAATATCATATACCATAAGTGCTCCAGCTGCTCCTCTGTAGTATGACCTTGTAACTGCTCTGAAACGTTCTTGACCAGCAGTATCCCATATCTGAAGTTTGATTTTCTGACCTGCTACTTCTATAATTCTTGTTCCAAACTCTACTCCTATAGTATGTGGGCAATCAGCCATAACTACAAAAAAAAAACAAATAGGAACTCCACTTGTAATCTTTGGTGTCCCATACAAATTGCTTACATTTTTTTTCCGTGAACTGGTGTAAAAGACAGGACTTTCCAACGCCCATATCACCAATTATAATATACTTAAATATATAAGAGTAATTATATTGTCCAGTAGACATTTTGCTACAAAATTTTTGCATTGTTAATGATATGCTTATAAGGCAATTCATACATTATAAATGCATATAAATTAAAAAATTACAGAAACTAAAATAATTACCTGCAAAATGGGAAAACAAATATACACGACGTACTTGAATCAGTTCGATAGATGCTTTGTTCTTTTCAAAAATCAACAGTTGATACAACAATAATTCAATTGTCGTGACTTGAATCAAGTATGTATTTATTACCCTTATTTTTTATAAATGCCTTTTTAGAACAAATTAGCCTTTGGTACAATTATCTATAAGAAAAAATTTAATAAAAACGATTTTGTAAATTTGTCGTACTAATACGTCAAAAAAATGACAACACACCACACACCTTCTTGCGATACATAGTTCATCAATTAATCTATGAGTTCATCAATGGTTCATCAGTACATGAATGATCAACCACAGAGCTACAAGAACCAGTAATAGAGCATAAGCTAAAAGAATGAATCGAATTTTCTCTTTGTTTATCTCTGTAGAAACTCGTTTGTGTACTTTGTATAATGTAATCATTTTAAAAGTGATAAATAAATAAAGAAATAAATAATT